TGAGCTCTCTGCTGGACTCACGGAACCCTGAAACCTGCCTGGCTTTCTACAGGACTCACGGAACCCTGAAACCTGCCTGGATCTGTCGGTTCAACAATACAGACAAAAACTTCAGATATTTTCAGATACGTCAGAAAGTCAGATGAAGAGTGTTGGAGTGGCTTCTGTTATCGCGGATCTAAATATCGTATCAAATCGTAGTTAGTGATCATTTGTCTGTTTCTACAGGAGAGCTGGTGGCATTAATGCCGGCACTACAAACCTGCCTCTGTTATTGTTTGCTCAGATTCTAGCAGAGCTCTGATTAGTTTTAAGGAAATGTCTTCATAATATACATTAGAAATAATGTTTGATATTGTTCACCGTGTTACTAGAATAAAAAGACATGCGCTGCAGGTTACCTTGTTCTGGCTTCCAGCTTCACATAGGAGGGCAATGAGCTTCTATGCTAACAATTAGCATTAAATACAGTAAAGCAGAAATGAAATCTATAGAAAAGGTGAAGATTTGGCAGGAAGGAGGACAGAGGACGTAAAGGAAGACATTTCTATAGAGTTCAATCAAATAAGGAAGAGACAGGAGGGACCCTAACTTGATTTTAAGAAGGTTGAGACTGGGACATACAGGACTTAATAATACTGCATATAAAAGGGAAATATGTAACAGGGAACTGGGATTACTGGGATGAAGTGGCAGATTTAGAACATGTGCTGATATACTGGAGACAATATCAACAAAGGAGAGATTAGGATTAAATCTGATCAATAGAAGGCATAGTTTAATGTTTTCAGTTTACTGCTATTAGACTCAGGGCATATTTTATTTAAGTATATGTTTTCTTCTTCTTTTAGGAAAACAGGTTTATATTATAGAATGTAGGGAAATTTTTAAATTCTAATCCACCTACTATTCAGAAGGTGGAGCTAATGCGCACCTAAACGTTGCTTACCAACCGCCATTAAACAAAAGAAGAAGAAGAAGGAAGTTTAGTTTGAACTGGAGCAAAGCTTTTATTAGAGACAGATTCTGGTCATTAATCAAAAACCTGATAAGTTAAAAGTTGGATTAACTTCCTTCTAAAATGTGATTTCATGTCACAAACATCTGTCTCTCCTTTTCCAGACTTTATCCTGCTGAGTTCTGACATACGGACAGAAGTTTTCTCCACAATAAACTTTGATTTAGAATCACAGAGACATTCAAACAAAAATAACTCAATATTCTCTGCAGGCTGGATCCAAACCAACATTAATGATGAGGGAGATGAACAAACTCGTCTGCTCACAGACTTTCTGAGGAGCTTCAGTTTCAATAACTGGCAGAAAATCAGATGGAACTGAAGCAGGATATTCAGAAACCATATTAATGTCTAGGACATGTAATGCATCAACCAACCGTTCAGGGGAATAATTCCTCCTCCTGCAGGTCGCTGCCGTCCGTCTGGATGTTAGCAGGTCGCTGCCGTCTGGATGTTAGCAGGTCGCTGCCGTCTGTCTGGATTTTAGCAGGTCGCTGCCATCCG